AAGTCAAGTCTTGAATATGGCTTACAGTAAATGGCTGGCTGTTTGCGGGTGAGCTGTGGCCAGATGGCCCTCCTTTCCCTCCATTCCTTCTAGCTCTGCAACTACAGGGACAGGGGTGATTATACTGTAGGCTGAGGCAGCCATTCCTACCACACCCTAGGTTCCTGACATTTTCAGTTTGTTTTAAATTATTTTCAGTCAACCACCAGCATTTGTATCTCTTTTCACAATCACAGTATCAGTTATCAAAATAGGTACTTCAAATACAAATGGAGTTTCAGAAACATACTTTACTGGTGGAAAAATGGAAGTGTGGTCTCTTCCAGGTCATGCTCAAGTGATGAGTCTACCATTTGAGGATGTTCTGAGCACCGTGTGGAGTCCAACCTTGCTCCCTGGCCCTCCCAGCCTAAATCACAGAGGAGAACTTGGCATAATCCTTTTCTTCATACAGCTTGATTGCCACACTTTCCACTATATCTTAAAATATGAAAAAAAAAAAAAAAGTAGTGGGCCAGTCCCATAGCCTAGTTGTTAAAAGAATTAAATCCTACATGGCTGACCACAGTTCAAATCCTGGACCTGGCAGCTTGAAAAACATGCCATGTATGTGTGCACCCCAAATCCTGACAGGATGGAGAAATGGAGACAAGACTATAGCATGACTATGCCCCATTGAGTGGTGCTTTCTCTTTCTCTCCCTGTATCTCTCTGGTCAGCATACATGCCTTTGACAATCAAAAAAATAAAAGTAGCTCCAGGAAGCATTGTTCCATCTAGTTAGCATCAAGCTGCCAGCTGTCTGGTCTGACCAACAGGTTGTGTTGATTGATTTGGTCAGTGTTGTGATCTTCCAACACAGCTCACAGCACTGTAACTCATAAAACCTGGCTTTATCACTCAGTTAGAGGTATCTATGGACTGGCTTAAAACAAATGAACAAAACCCCTGGCCAAATACCTTGCAGATAGCTTTTGCTTTCTTAAGTATGAATGGAAACATTTTCAAAATCCTCACAAAATTATCCCTACCTAAACTTAACTCTTTCTCTATGATTTCCCAAAATTGTATTTACCAGTAATAAACTCAGAAATTTCCAGAGGTAGAGTTGAATGCACACTTCTATTCTCTACACACATCTTAGATTTCTTTGTGGGTACTACGGTTTACTCTAACACTAGATGGGGTCCACATTTAAATGGTCTGCGAGATCTCTAACAAGGCAGAGGACAGTCAGTGCTTAGGCTAAGCATTTCTACCATGTTATCTGGCAGCATGGGAGCAAAATTTTTCTCTGACTAAAAACAGAAAACTGGGGCCAGCAGATGGCATAGCGGTTACATTGCTGGACTCTCACACAGCTGACTGCAGTTTGAGTCCCATACCTAGTGGCTTGAAAATCATGCCAGATGCATGTACATACATGCCCAAGATTCCAGGAGGATGGAGAATGGAATATGGCATGGCCATCCCCTCCGAAGGTGACTCCTCACTTTCTCTCTCTGGTAAAGGCATGCACCATAAGGCAAAAAACAACAACAGGAAACTGGGCCAGCCAGTGGCATGGTGGTTAAAGTGGCTGGATCTCACATAAGCAACTGCACAATTTAAGTTCCAGATCTGGCAACTAGGAAAACATGCTAGGTGCATGTGCAAAAAAAAATCTAGAGAGGAGAATGGAGAAGAAGGCATTGTGGCATGGCTCTCTCTTTTTCTCTCTCTCTCTCCAAGTGTACATACCCTATAGCAATTAAAATAAAAGTAGAGAAAACTGCCAGTGTGAAACCACAGTGACAGCGACAGGTGAAAATAACCCTGAGAGTCTTCATTCATGTTACTGAGCTCCCTGGACTCCAGACTTCTCACTATAAAGAAATGGTGTCTGTCAAGCCTAGTATCTCAGAGAAGTCCAAAGCAAAACCTGCATCACCTGGGCTTATAACAGAGGTCAAAGTGCTATAGCCTGGGCCCAAGAAGATGGTGAGTTCTAGACCTAGTATGAATATGGAAAACCCACCTCACTACCCTAAATAGCAATTTCCTCAGCTACAAGGCTAGCCTAACCATACCTAGCTTGCAGGATTCTTCTTTTTTTTTTTCACTTTTTAAAATTTATTTTTACATTTTTTTCACAATCATTTACTTTACATATCAAAAAATTTTAACTCATACTCCATAGTTCTTGACAGTTAACAACTTTCAAAATTTCAAAATACTGACTTTTAAAGATAATGTTCAAAATATTTCTTATAATTTTGTATGTGACTCTATAACGACAGAAACAGTATGGTTTTAATTTTTTTTTCTTTTTTCTTTTTTTGGAGAGTTTTTTTTTTTTTTTTTTTTTGCTATAAGGCCCCGTCATTTGTTTGTCAACAGAGACAGAAAGCGGGAAATCACCCCCCAGGTGGGATGGTCACGCCGCAATCCCTTCTCCTCCTCCTCCTCCATTCTCCTCTCGGGATCTTGGGCACGCATGCACATGCGCCCGGCGTGAGTTTTAAGCCACTGGGTCCAGGACGCGAACCGCAGGCGACTACGTGGGACTCCAGCGACATAGCCATTACACTAACTGCTGGTTCACTGGTTTTAAATATTTAAAATATTTACACGTCAACTACTCAAATTGTTGAAAAGCAAATGCCCAGAAGCTTACAGGATTCTTCTAAGTCCTGTGACAGGGTAGACATCAAAGGTGCACGACCTCCTAGGTCTGAAATGCCCTCCCTCCTCCCTCACGACCAACTATCTGAGCTTCCATACTGGCATTTGGCCCCTCCTCAGAAAGCGTCCTTGGTCCTTTGATGGCGGCTGAATTCATTCCCCCTTCTCTTCCTACAGTGTCTGTTGTTGTATGTGGTGCCTCTACCCTAAAATCTAGCACTTCAGGTTGAACATTTATGTGTGCGTGTCTGTCTCTCTAGTCTTACGTCGCTCTACTGAGGCATCTAGAATCTCAGTTAAGGCACCTGAATATTTCAGACTGTTCACCATTGCAGCATCCCCTGCTGGCACAGAAAACGTGCTCCGTGGATGGACAGGCCTAACTGAATAGGCAAGCGAGCTTTCTGACATCCAGAAGCATTTCCCCCATTACTGAAATAGATACGGTTTATTTATAAATGAAAACAAATGAACAATTCCTAAATTGCAATTTCCTCAGCTACAAGGCTAGCCTAACCATACCTAGCTTGCAGGATTCTTCTTTTTTTTTTTCACTTTTTAAAATTTATTTTTACATTTTTTTCACAATCATTTACTTTACATATCAAAAAATTTTAACTCATACTCCATAGTTCTTGACAGTTAACAACTTTCAAAATTTCAAAATACTGACTTTTAAAGATAATGTTCAAAATATTTCTTATAATTTTGTATGTGACTCTATAACGACAGAAACAGTATGGTTTTAATTTTTTTTTCTTTTTTCTTTTTTTGGAGAGTTTTTTTTTTTTTTTCGCTATAGGGCACGTGCATTCGCTAGACAGACAGAGACTAGAGACAGAAAGCGGGAAATCACCCCCCAGGTGGGATGGTCACGCCGCAATCCCTTCTCCTCCTCCTCCTCCATTCTCCTCTCGGGATCTTGGGCACGCATGCACATGCGCCCGGCGTGAGTTTTAAGCCACTGGGTCCAGGACGCGAACCGCAGGCGACTACGTGGGACTCCAGCGACATAGCCATTACACTAACTGCTGGTTCACTGGTTTTAAATATTTAAAATATTTACACGTCAACTACTCAAATTGTTGAAAAGCAAATGCCCAGAAGCTTACAGGATTCTTCTAAGTCCTGTGACAGGGTAGACATCAAAGGTGCACGACCTCCTAGGTCTGAAATGCCCTCCCTCCTCCCTCACGACCAACTATCTGAGCTTCCATACTGGCATTTGGCCCCTCCTCAGAAAGCGTCCTTGGTCCTTTGATGGCGGCTGAATTCATTCCCCCTTCTCTTCCTACAGTGTCTGTTGTTGTATGTGGTGCCTCTACCCTAAAATCTAGCACTTCAGGTTGAACATTTATGTGTGCGTGTCTGTCTCTCTAGTCTTACGTCGCTCTACTGAGGCATCTAGAATCTCAGTTAAGGCACCTGAATATTTCAGACTGTTCACCATTGCAGCATCCCCTGCTGGCACAGAAAACGTGCTCCGTGGATGGACAGGCCTAACTGAATAGGCAAGTGAGCTTTCTGACATCCAGAAGCATTTCCCCCATTACTGAAATAGATACGGTTTATTTATAAATGAAAACAAATGAACAATTTACAGTATCTCAAAGGTTGAAAAAAGTGACAGGACTAAACACACAACTTCTGATTTTCTTCAGATTCAGTTCTTATGGTTTTTGTTGTTTTATCATTTTCCTAAAGGGTGTGTGCAGTTGCTGGAGAGACAGAACGAGCACAGAGACATCAAGGAGCCTTTTGAAGCCAGGCTCAACTTCCTATTCCCAGAATGTAGCATTGTGTTTGGCACTAATAGGCATTGGATAAATGTTTATTTTTGAATGAATGACATGCAAATTAATGACTTAATTAAGTCATCTGTAAAGACATAAAGATTCAGAGGTAAAGGTTATCTATGATATACTTCTGCCCTGAAAGATTGGCTGCTCGTGATATTCTGAGAATTGGTCACAGCTGATAGGAGGATTCTTCTTGCCTCGTACTATTCCCACAAAAAGGGCTGGATTACATATCAATCCTTTGATGAATTTGAACATAGCCAAATTCCTTGTGTCAGCCATTCAAGATGCTTTCTTTGTCCATATGTCTTCCAAAACAGCTAGTTAAGCTTACCTGCTTTTAACTCAGCAGTTCAGAGACCTTTAGGGTGGTCTTTGAAACAATGTGACTAATTTTGGTTTCCAAATCAACAGAGACAGAATAAGAGTGTTTTGAAATTGTTTCAGATCCAGGACCAGTTCTCTTTAGGCCACAGATCTCAGCAGGACATTTGGGATGTCTCTCAATGAAGAGATCACACAGGGGTATTTTCATACCTGGCCTAGTCGTAATTCTTTGCGTAGCTTCAGGATATACTGAAGTATTTGGAAAAATAAAAGCTGCACCCCCTGCAGACAAAAGGAAAGACAAAACATGTGAAGGTTTTTTGTTGTGGTTGTTGATCTCAGTATCAGCCTAATCTACCTTGTCCTCTGACTACAGGGGAGGAGACCTCCTTGGACCTGCCTTAATAGACCTCAGAGAAAATGGACAAGCACACACATCAAAAATGGAATCTGAAGACGGACAGGGATGAGGAGCTCTCCTGTAACCCATTTTTTATAAAGTGTTTTGTGCTTTGAAGTTAGAGCTTCTTGCTGAAGCCTCATCTATGCACTCCCCAAGCCTCTAGCAATCTCATTTTATTAAAAAAAAAAAATCTATGGTGCATGTTGTATTTTTCAAATTGTATAAAAACCCATAAAATAGTTTACAGAGCTCTTGGAAAGCAGTATCAAGGAATTACAAATATCTTGTCCAAGAGTTTATGGATCTTATTAAAAATTAATCCACATCTGTGTTCAAATGCATGTTTTCTCTTTCTCCCTTTCAATCAACACTCACACTGTGAGCTGAGAAAACTCCCTTCTCTCAGTTTTATTCATTTAGAATTTGCTGTGCTGTTTTTTGGGTTCGTCTATGCTTTACATTAACAAAGTTAATGAATTTAGAACTTTCTTTTTTCATTATTATTATTATTATTATTTATACATTAAATCACTATACATTATTTAGCTTGTAGAGAGAATTTATCCAACATGAAATACACCTCAGACCAGTCCAGTTGAGAATACTATACGCATTATTGTCAATAGGTAATAAGGCATTTCTGTGTCCCACCAATGTCTTACTTCTCTATTTTTCTCCCTAATT